GAAAAAATAAGAACCAAGATGCATCATGTAAAGGTACAATTCCCAATGAGAAATGTAATTGTGTTGTATACCTACAATGTACCAATAAAAGAATTTTTTTAAAAAAGGATGTCTACACAAAACAAAGCTAGCATCATATAATTAATGCTAAAATTATTTCCCCTTGAGATGGAGAACAAGAAGTCTTAGCCAGTGCAACAATGTATACTAATTAAAAGCAAACTAGAAAGAAAATTATGTCCATAGATGTATATATGATTATCTGTATGGAAAATTTCAATGAATCTAAACACACACGCTCCAATGATGTGTAACAAAACATTTAGGATCTGCAAACTTAAAATCTACAAAGTGCTGAAGAAAGGAATCAAGAAAATATAAATACATGCTGTATTTGTGACTGAAAGCTCAACACAGGAAAGATGTGAGTCCTCCCCAGACTGAGTAGAGTGCAGAGGTGTCAGGAGGGGTAGACACACATGAAATGTCGCCTGGAAGACTGGCAGCTTCTTACTGAGTTACGCATTACTCACCATGTGATCTGAGTGCACCCTGGAGACTTAGCGCAAATGAAACAAAGACTCTGCGCGTGGTCACACAGCTCTGCTTCATTGACTACCCAGGAGTAGATGCTCAGTGTCCTGCAGTGTGGGTGAATACACAGTGACACCCACGTGGCGGAAGTCCACAGATGCAGCGGACGGCGACACTGGCAGCAACATGAAGTAATCGCCAAGGCATCTACTGAGCTGAAGAACCCAATTTTAGAAAGTCACACACTGCATGACTCTCGTTTCTATGACACTTGGAAAAGGCAAACTATAGGGATAGGGAGGTCAGGGAGGGGACAGGATGTTATTACAGGGCAATAGCAAGAGGGAGATTTGGGGTGACTGAACTGTCCTTTCCCCCAAGTTTGGTAACGGTTGCACAAATCCGTTTAGGTACTGAAATTCATGTAATAAGCCAGGTGTAGTGGTGCATGACTATAATCTCAGCACTCAGAAGGCTGAGGCAGGAGGATCTCAGTGAGTCCGAGGCCAGCCTAGCTATGTAGTGAGTTCAAGGCCAGCCTGAACTGCATAGCAAGACCCTGCTGCAAAACAGACTAATAAGTAGATAAATAAAATTAATTTAATTGCACTTTCCCCAAAGAGTCATTTTGACTTCCTGATTACTAAAAATAAAACTGTGTTTTAGAAATACAGATCATTCCTGTAGTGATCATGCTGCTGCTCAGTTGCACCCACATCCAGAGCCGAATCATCAGAGTGGTCGCTTCTGGACATTCATGTCATGGCTGCATGTTCAGAAGAACCTGCATCCGAGTCTTGTGTAACACTGACTGAGTTTACTGCTGAAAACAGCAGCTGGACAGGTAGGATGTAATTGCTGTTTGTTTTATTATGACTTTTATCATTTGTCTTTTTTCTCCTTGTAACAGGTCCATTTTGGAACTCCGCTTCCTTCAGTACTGCGGCTTCCTGTCTTCATTTCCCAACACTCTGGGGTGAGCTCAGTGCCGATGTGTCTTTCTTCTTTAAGACAACAGCTTCCTCTGGGGTGTTTGGAGAGAGCCTGGGGTCCCAGACTGCACCAGGCTGGAGCTGCGTGGTGAGCCGCCCACTCTGCATGCCGTGAACCCTCTGAGCAACCTAATTCCCAATCTACTACCATGCCTCCTTAACAGTTATATTGTCATTAAATACTGCTGGTTGTATTTTCATAAATATTAGTTAGGATTTACTATTAAATACTAAAATTCCACCATTTTTTAGCAGCGCTGGGGCTTGACCTCAGGACCTTTGCACTGAGCTATATCCCTGTCCTGTTTTAGGTTTTATTTGAGGATCTCACTAAGTTGCTAAGTTGCTAGGCTGAGCTCAAACTTGCAGTCCTCTTGCCCTAGTCTTCTGAAGTGCTGGGACTGGGGATTTGCCATCACACCTGGCTACTGTGCCTTTAAATTATCATCCTACGTTGTCATCTTTCCATCCCTGTAACAAAACACCCGAGGTAATCAGCTTATAAGGATAAAAGGTTTACTCTGGCTCCTGGTTCTGGAGGTCCCAGTCCACAACAGAGTGGCCCGGTGTCTTTGGGCCTCTGAGGGCCATGGCACATCATGTGGCAGCATGTGTTCACCTCATGACCAGAGGAAACAGAAGCAGGAGGGGGTGCGAGCGGTGGACCCCATCTGGGTGTCCCTTGGTGATGGGAAGATTCCCCACCTTCGGTCTCACCGGGCAAGGGTTCTACCACCTTCCAGGAGGAGAGCACCGGGTTCCAGCTTTGGGCAGGGACCTTTGTTCTCCAGACCTAGCAACAGAGAGTGGGGAGCGGTGAACTGTGAGAGGCGCAGAAGTGCGGTGCGGAGATGAAACCAAACTGGTCAGATAATCAGCTGGTACTAAATTGGAAAATATTTGATTGAATTGGCCATAGTCATTGTGTTCAACCATAAATGCAAATCTTAATTCTTTACTGTCATAATTTCATGTAATGGGCTGGAAATTTGGCTCAGTGGCACCTGCGCCTGCCTCTCAAGCACAAGGTCCTGAGTTCGATCCTCAGTAGAAAAAAAACCCATGTAATGCTTTTGAAATCATGTGAAGCTTCCAGTCACCTTGAAATAAAATCACTTGTGCTTATTAAATGAAGCCAGATACCAGGCTAGTTTTCTTTCCGCAGCGCCGGCTGTGTTGGGATGGGTTTCGGTTTTCTTCCCCTCGCTCGGAGGTGACCTTTTCCTTCGATTGTGGGGAATGGCCCTTGCGAGGTCTCCATGCAGTCACCCACGCCCCTGAACGACGGCCGGTGGCACCCCGTGCGCGCGGAGAGGAGCATCAAGGAGGCCATGCTGCGAGTGGATGAGCTGCCCCTGGGGCTGCAGCCCGGCCCGGTCGCCAGCCACGTCCTCCTGCAGCTCAACAGCCGGCTCTTCGTGGGTGAATGCGGGGTGCAGGCGGGGCGCAGGACAAGCCGCAGGGCTCTCGCCCGCCTGGGAATCCAGACCTGCGCGGGCGGCGCCTCCACATCCGGCCACCTTTGCCCAGTCTCCGACTCAGCAGAGTTAAGGAGAACTCGCCTTGTAACGGCACAGAGCCCCGCAGGATGGGCCAGACCCTCCAGAGGCCGGGCGCAGGTGCAGCCCGAGCCCGTGGCCCGAGCAGCACCCCAACCCCAACCCCCACGCTGCGCGCCAGGCTGCTGTGGCTCCTTGACTCCTCCCACTGGCCGGAGATCACAGCGCGGGGTAATGCAAGGTTTCCCTTTCATTTACTTGTTTATTGTTTTATCATTGTTTGTTTTCCCAAAGGGAAACATGTTTTGGCCTGTTATTTTCAAGCAACTCTATTTTAATTTGGAAACGAAGCAGATGAACAAAGTAGCTCTTACCTGGTCGTTTGTCATGAAGTTTAAAGTAAATAAGAACACACCCCAGTTAAAAAGAGACATAAATCATAAGGTAGCACACAGCCTATTTTGCCAGAAGATTCCACAGCATGAGAGGGGCTAATGCTATGCACTGAATTAAGGTGTGTGTGCGCGCGCGCGCGTGTATGTGTGTGTATACACAACTCATGGCTCTGTAAAACCCAACTTTAAGCTCTTAATTCTTACTCATATAAAGCTTCACTTTCAATCATCAAACTGCAGCTCTAATTAAACAATTTTCTCATCTCTAATCCCTCATGATAAATTAACCATTAATGGAATTCCTAGCAGTGAAATTTTCGTAAAAACCCACCTATAACTGGCATTCCTACTAGTGTAAATTTTCTAGAGCCTTGAGAAGCTGGTAGAAAATTCAGATTTGGGGCACCCATCCCCACAGACTCAAAGTCATGTCTGTGCTTTCTAACATACTTTGCAGGTGACACTGGGTCACCCGTATCTGTGAACTATTGTCTTAAACTTGTGTGGGACATTATAAAAATGCAGAGGTAGAAAGCGTTCATTTGACGCTGCTCTGGGGTGACTCGGGCCGGGGCCGGCAAGGTCAACCTGGGACCCCAGATCTTGGTTGCCTGCTCTTCCCTCTCTTTCTCCTCTTTTGTTCCTTTTTTTTTTTTTTTGGTACCAGGGATTGAACTCAGGACCTTGCCCTTTCGAGGCAGGCGTGGCCCCACTGAGCTACATCTCTGGCCCTTTGTTCCTTTGGACAGCTTTGTTGCTGAAAACTCTGCCAAGAGATTTTCAACTATATTGCCTTTTCAAGACACAGTATTATTTATGAATTTAGAATCAGTACTCTTCATTTTGTTCTTTATAATGAAATAAATAAAAAAATCTATTCAAATATAACTTGAAGAAGGACTTTTAAAAATATTTTCTGAGTTCAACTTTAAAAAAAATTTTGTTAATAGTTTATTCAGTACCATTTCACAGGTTTTTTTGTTTTTTGGTTTTCTTTTTGGATTGTGCAATGGCTTTATTGACTCCCTTTTTCTGGGGAGAAGCAGGAAGGACCTCATATCTAGAGAGGTGAAAGGCAAGACAGGAAGCTGTGATTTCTTCAGCATGGGTCATTAAACCAATAGAGAGGGTGTTCTGCATCTCTTGGACTCTCTTTCCATCCATTGTGATCATGGGCACAATGTAGCACCAGTTTTTGTTCAGGGCATCTAGCTGCTTATCTCTTCTGGGCTAAAGGTGGAGTCACACACCTGGATGCTCTGAAGGACATGAGATGGGATGACACTTTGGGGCATGCAGGTAACTTTCTGCTGGACTTGCCACCTGAGCTGGAGATTGGCCATACTTTTCAGCCAGTGCCCAGATACTGACTCCTCCAGCAGGATAGGCTCATCAGGGTGGTGCTGAGCATGACCAGAGGAGCCCAGAGGACTGTAGGCAGTCACCTCAAGGCCACACACTTGGCAGTGGGCAGTCAGCTCATTCTGAGGTAGGTGTGGGTGGGTCTCCACCTGCAAGACAGCCTGGCCCACAGAGGCCACACTAAGGATACCATCAATGTGCCAACTGGTGAAGCTGGACAGGCCAGCATGGACCAGCCCCTTGGCCACCAGTGCCTCCAGAGCCTTCCTCATTTCCTTAGTCCCATGGTCTTCTTGGGGAGGGGTTGTCTCCCCACTCAAAGGCATGAATGAGGCCAGTGCATCAGGTATGGGTCCAGATGCTCCAGCTGGAGGTTGGTCAGTATCTTCCAGGGGGCAGGCTCCACATCCTGGGGTGGTGCGTGGTGGTTCACACCTTGGATGTCAGGAACAGCTCCTCCAGGGGCACTGCCTGGCCTGGGCCACGTTTGCCCTCAGGGCTTCCTCCATCTCAGGCTCACTGCGGGGAGGCCTACACTGAGGGCACATGTGATGGCTGCTTCCACCTGGCTGGGCTCACTGTTCCAGGTGCCCAGACCAATCGGGGGCATCTTCTGCCTCACGAAGGAGGACACAGGAAGCCGCCAGCTCCCTCAGCGTGAGCACAGAGGTAGACTGAACCGCACAGCCTAAGATTAGCTCTGCACCCTGCTAGGGGCCCAAGGGGCCTCAGCTTACATCTGGCGGTGAAGAACCACAGTTCTTAACCTTTGGCCGGGTCCGATGTTGTCAAATCGTACTCGAGAGCGGCCTTGGGGGTCCTGGTCTCCCGGTCTGTGAGGCGTAGGTGGGGCCGAGGCGCGGGAGGTGCAGCCTGGAAAGAGCGCTCTGTCCCCGCAGGTGGCACGGCCAGCAGGCAGAGGGGCTTCGTGGGCTCTGCAGCTGAACGGTGCATCCCTGGACCTGGAGGGAAGAGCCCCGGTGACGCTGGGGGTGCAGCCCGGGTGCGTGGGGCACTGCGGCACCTACGGACACCTGTGCCGCAATGCGGGGCGCTGTAGGGAGCAGGAGCGTGGCGTGGCCTGCGACTGCGCTGCCTTGGCCTACGAGGGCCAGTTCTGCTCGCGCCGTGATTGTGCCGGAGACGCAAGAGCGGGTCGTGCTGGGAGGACAAGCGAGGCTGTGGGATTGTTTAAATGGGACTTCTGCCCCAGTTCCTCCACGGAATTTAGGAGGAGATGGGAATCAGCCGCGGCTTCACTTGCCTCTAGACACCGCCCTTCCTGGGTCTTGAAGCGGCAGCCCGAGGACAGTGACGACCTTACACTGTTCACTCAGAGCAGAGATTTAGGTCCATGTAAATCTAAGATGAAGCGCTTTGAAGGCAATAATGCAATGTTTATTTTGTAAATTCAAGGTTATGAGAATACGGGGGAGTTATCTATAAATAATTGGAATAAATAATAGAACTATTTTTTGATATAAAATTTGTAAAAGTTTAAAAAACAGCAAAAATGTCATTATTTTCTTTGGGAATGTTGAGAGATTAGAGATTTTAAAAAGTGTGTACACATCTTGGACTTACATGGTGCTAACGTAACAAAAGTGTGTGTCGCTCCAGACATTTCTCCCTATTTTGGAACTGGCTCCTCAGTGGTCTACAATTTTGAAGAACAGTGCAATCACACCTTCGGTACAAACGCCAGCTCCTCGACGGTGCTGCTGCAGGCGAGGCTCACGCTGACCGCAGAGGTGGCCACCTTCGGCAGCTTCCTGACCTCGGCGGTGGCCAGCTTACTGCTCTACGTGAGCTCCTTCCGCGAGCAGTACCTGTCTGTCATCCTCAGCCCGAGCGGTGAGTCCCCTCGAGCCAGAGACTGAGCGGCTCTGGACCCTGGGCCCTTGCCGGACTCAGGCCACAGAACCCGCGCATGCACAGTACATCCGCAGCCCCTACTCCGCGAGGGCTGGTTCATTTTGTAACCCCAGCGGTTTATAGGAGAAGGTACCATGGCATTGACTAAATTAAAATGCCTTTTTCCCATAAATGCTTGATTACTTGATGGATTCGGTATGGAACTATTTTCCGGGGTTGCTAAGAGGCCTTTGCTTCTGTGTGTGAATAACCTAAATTAGTTTTGTGGTTCACTTTAAAATAAGATCCCTTATTTTATTTGTGGAAAATATTTTGTCTTTCTTGTAAACCAGTACTTTAAAAATAGAAAAAACAGTATTCATGTGGATCAGATAAATATGCCAGTTACTTATCCATCGGTAGTTGAAAAGTCACTGGTGTAATTACAAGAAAAAGTAGAGTGGGAGGGAGCCATGCCATGCCCACCAGGGCTTTCCCAGGCCTGCACAGTTGGGGAAGGGCCAAACCATAGCCTTGTTTCATGGTACTTGCAGGGAGAAGGCGAACCTCTAGGAAAACTTCCCAGCATCTCTGACAAGAGTCCCTGTGGTCAGCAAGAGAGTTTGGGGCCAAGGGGCATTTGGGGAGGGGCGCACAGATTGTGGGTTGAGAATTTGGATGTTGTAACAAACCTTTTTTTTTTTTTTCTTTTGGTACTGGGGATCGAACTCAGGTTCTTGTGCTTGCAAGGCAAGTGTCAAAACCACTGAGCTAAATCCCGGGTCCGACTTTTTCTTGATTATAGCAGAAATATTAAGGGGGAAATCCTGATTATGTAAGGAAAAAAATTAATCATGGAGAAGTCAGCAATATATTAAAATGTATTAAAATAAGTGAGATGAAAAGAAGCTATAGAAACAACGCTAACACAGTATAGCTTGAGGCTTTACAACTTAATATGACTGCCACATCAACAATTAACTGACAGGCTTGCTCAGAGTTTTCATGTGCTTAACTTCTACTTTTCCATTTCATTAAAGAATATTGGGGACCTTGGAGAAGGGCCTGCTTATTGTAATTCATTTGGTCTTAACTTTTAAAATCATGTAATTGGATTCAGATTTTAGCCTGGAGTAACTCACAACGTTCACTATTCCAGGAAAAGTGAATATTGCTCCACTCAAGTAAATGCCCCCTATATTCAAGTTGTATTAAAAATAAGTTTTTGAATGTTTTCAGAACCTGCATTAACAGTTTTTATAAATTCTATTTTAGCTAAAAATGTCATTTTTTCTTCTTCAGGAAGTTTGCAGATCAGATACAAGCTAGACAGACACAAACAGCCTGATGTTTTTAACTTTGATTCTAAAAACCTGGCTGATGGTCAGCTTCACCACGTAAAGATTAACAGAGAAGAAGCAGTGGTCTTTGTAGAGGTAAGATAGTAAACTCATCAGTGGTAATAGTAATTAAAATAGTGACATAAGGGAAACTTAGAGAACACATCCTAATAGAAATACACATTTAGCACTACTTCATGTCTTATTAGGTTGTAACGTGGAGTCACATTGTTTTGCTCAGCCATTGTGTTAGTCAGGTTTTTGTCACTATGACAAAACATCAAGAACAAGAACTTAAAGAAGGACAGGTTTATTTTAGCTTACAATCTCAGAGTTTCCAGTTCATGGTCAGCTGGCTGCATCCTGTTTAGGCTTGTGGCAGGGCAAAATCATGGTGAAGGAGAGCTGTTCATTTTCTGGCAGAGAAAAGAGAAAGGTAGAAAGGAGAGATAGAGACAGACAGACAGACAGACTGCTGTTAGCTCTCTTCCTTCCATTTTTGTTCCATTCAGTACTCAACCTAGTGGAGGTGCCACATTCAGGGCAGGTCTCCACCCTCAGTTTGCTGGCACACATGCCAGTCATCTCTTACAAACATCCAGCAAGATGGGAAGCAGACTAGGAGGTGGAGGGAGGGGAGAGGGAGGGAAGTAAAAAGAATTGAGATGTGTTATGTGCGTGTATCAACTCTCCACAATGAGTATAATAATTATGTACTGAAAACCTGTACTAACAAAATTTTTTTAAAGAATAAAAAATGATTAAAAAAGAAATCATACCAGAAACCATGCTTTACTAATGTCCTAGGCATTTCTCAAGCCAATCAAGTTGACAATAAAGATTAACCCTCATAGCAATGTTTGTTTAACAATGAGATTGTCAAAGTTACTATTACTATTTGTCAGTTTTTTTGTGGTACTAGGATTGAATTCAGGACCATTCACACCTCAGTTACATCCCAGCCCTATGTTTATTTTGTAGTTTGAGATAGAGTCTTGCTAAATTTCCCGGGTTGGGCTCCAACTTGTGATTCTCCTCCCAGAGTGCTGGGATTAGAGGCAAGTACTACCACACCCAGGTGATTTGATCATTTCAAATATTAAACTAGCCTCATTGGTTTTACTTTACAGGGTAGAAAAATATTTAGTTTATCATTAGTCTAGTATTACTAGCCCAGTAGTTACTATGACTACTAACAATATTCTACTGGATATGAAAGAACAAATTCCATGGCAATTTAATCACAAGGAAAAACTCAACCTCTTGCTTAAAGTGGGAATATATTTTTGAAAAGCATCTGAGTATTTAAATTAAGCTTTGAAATTTAAAATAGCTTGTTTCACTTCTTTGTGGATTGTGCCATTTATATAAACTGGAACAATGAATGAAAATAGAAAGAGGACAGACAGTGAGACAGAGAGAAGTTTGAGGTGACGAAGAAATTGTTAAATGAGTTTTCTTCTGTCTAAGTCATCTACTGTTTGAATCTGACTTCTTTAATCTTGCTGATAGTACTAACATATAGCTCATTGTCTCAGGCACTTTCTCATCACTGAGACAAAGTGCCTGACTCCTGCATCTTAAAGGAGGAGCTTATTTTGGCTCATGATTTTTGTCCGTAGTTGGCTGGCTCCAAGGCAGGAAGGCATGGTGGAAGGGTCTGGTGGAGGAAAGCTGCTCACCTCATGACAGCCAGGAAGCTTTGTCCTTTGATTCCCATTCTTCTATTGTCAAAATCTTTCACATTTCCATGTCTGTTTCTTGTGGATCACTTCATAGGTTAACCAGAGTCCAAGGAGACAAGCCACCCTGTCATCAGGAGCAGAATTCAATGCTGTCAAGTCCTTTGTGTTGGGGACGATTTTAGGTAAGTGGAAGAAAGTGTTTCCCACAAGACACAGCCCTTGTTGTATCCATGAGTGACAGCAAGGTGGAGACTGCACTCTGTCAGCCTGCACCTGTGACCATGAGCCAGTGAGCCAGTGGGTGAGCGATGCTGTCCTGTATAAGTGCTCCCACCCCTCCCCTCTCCCTGGGCAAGCAGGCAGCATGTCAGAAGCATGGTGTTTTTCTAACAATTCAGGAAAGCTAAAATCAAAGCAGATATCAAGTTCACAAATTACATATTATCCAGTGGCCAAATACAGAAGTCATTTAATAATAAAACAAGATTTAAGATTAACAAAAGAGAACCATGAGTTGACATGGGATGTGTCAAGTACTCCGCTTCTCTTGCAAAATCACAGTCTCAATATCCCACAGACATTTTTTTCTGCACCCAGTTATTTGCCATCAAAGCACCAAAATACAAGCACCAAATTCTTTTTTTTTCCCATTAAGTTTATTGGTACATTTTTGGTATAAAATACAATTTCATTCATCATTGGGATCTTGTACCATTATGTGAGTATCTTGGTTCTTTTTTCTCCCCCTTCCCTTGCCCTCCCTTCACCCCCTCCACCCTTCCCTATTTGCAAAGACATTGTTTCCATTTTTTTCCTTTTCTTGTATTTTTTCTTTTCTCTTCTTTCCTTTCCCCTACTCCTCCCACTTCCCCTGCTCCTTTAGACCTTTTCTTCCTGTTACACAATATCAATTAGGCATTTTTAAAATTACAATATAAAGATCTAGGAGATATTACCACAGATTTTACAGAATTTAAAAGGATATAGAAAGCATACTACAAAAATACTTTTTGAAATAAATTCAA